AAAATTTCTTTGTTTCTTTTTACTCTAAATTAAATAAAATTTGACCTTTGTGTGAAAAGACAGCCAGTGATCACAGTTTGTCCTCACAAATCTCAGATACAAATCAATCACACCAACTAACTTGGCTGCAAAGATGAACGTAGTTCTGAGAATATTAACGAATTAAATACTAAATCTGATTATTTTACTTCCCTGTTCTTATTTAACTTGAAAGAAATGATTGGAGTACTATTCAAAAAGAAGCAGAAAGCAATTCTTCTATTTATGAACTTGATTATTTCAATCCACTGCCTCTTCTTGTTCTGTTTTATATATCTGATTATAAATGCTTGATAAAAGTCATCAAACTAAATGTTTGGAATATTTTGACTATGACAAATTTACAGATGAGACGTGTGCTCTTGGTCACACACTCATATTACAGTAAAACTAATAGAAAAACAGTGACAATGACAGTGCAGACAAAAGCCAGTACAGGTACAGTGTTGCGTTGTGTGATGTCTGTGTCTGTGTACTGTACATTATTATTATTTTATCATTTTTATTTTACATTATTTCATATTTTTATTTTTATTATTATTACTTTGATTTTATTATTATGGCTACAGTTGATAATGTCGCACAGAAATATACTGTTTTGTGGATTTAAGTATCTGCTGCTGCTGTTACACCTGCATTTCCCCGCTGCAGGACAATAAAGGATGTTTCTATTCTATTAGACAGTATGTGGGGGTGTTTGCATGTGCTTTACAAAAATACAAACTGTTAGAAAATATTTATGTGAGAAAACTCTGTTAATGAAAGGTTTTCATGGAGAAAATTGCCATATTCTGCTAGAGATCGGTTTTTATTGGGAAAATATTCTGTTTAGGAAATGTTTCCATGGTGCTAAGATTCGGCCAGGAGAATTATTTCCATGGTGGAAAAAATCATGTTAAAGGAACTGTCACATTGGTTAAAGATTCCCTTAGAGCAGTGTTTCCCAAAGTGGGGTCCCGAAACATCAAGGTGGGGTCCTGAAAAGATTTTCTAAATTAATTACATTTTTGCCTTAGTTGTTACAAATGAGTGAGGTTAGTTTATTTAAAATGGATAAATGTAGTATAAAAATATTGTTACTATGCCCATGTTTTGTTGACCTGATACAAATGTTTATCATCCAAAAATAGTTGGGGCACAGGTCTCTGCTACTGTTATTTTGTGGGTCAAAAACTGAAAAGTTTGGGAACCACTTCACTTTGGTTCCCAAAGTTGGGCTTGGGACCCAATTATGGGTCATGAAGCACCTTGGATAATCTCCAGAAACCAATTTAAAGGCTAATAAAATAATTGCTGATGTAATATTTTTCCTATAATTATTACAAAAACACAAAATAAGTAAAAATAAGTATTTATATTTGTGTATAAGCTGTTTAGATTGTAAAAAAGCCTGTGTTTTTAGGGTTATTAACAAAGTTCATGTACTCAGACCAGTAATATTTAGGGTCAAGTTTTTGCCATGGATATTTTATGGGTCAGAAGACAAAAAGTTTGGGAACCACTGCGCTAGAGAAAGATACTTGGTACCAAGAGAAAATCTGTGGAAAGACTCTCTTTTGGGGGATGATTTTTTAGGGAAATATTCATATGCAGTGAAAGTTCTGTTAGAAACATAAACTTTGGGGGAAAGATTGTACTAAAAAAGGTTTCCATAAAGAAAATATTTTAAGAAAACTTTCCTATAGGGTAAAAACTGCTAGAGAAAGACTTTGTAAAATTGATACAAGGGAAAGATTTTGTTAGTAAATATTTCTACAGAGAGAGTTCTGCTAGAAAACATTATTTTCATAGAACAATTCAAACAGGAAAAATGTGCTTGAAAAGGATTACCATCGGGAAATGATTTTACTAGATCAATGTGGAAAAGGTTGTTAGGAAAATATTTACTTGGGTGAAATATTCTGCTTGAACAATGTTTCTGTGAAAACAGATTCTGCTGAGAAAGATTCTGTGGGGGCAAAATCCAAACATGGCAAATTTCACATTGAAAGATTCCCTTGGGTAAAGATTCTGTTCAGAAGATTCCTTTAGGAGAAAGATTCTGTTTACCAATTCACATTGTGCTGCTGTTAAAAGCTCAAGGGGTGTCTGATCTGGTTTTTGTTACTTTTTAAGTAACTTATTTAGTAAAAACACATAAGGACTGGTCCAAAAGCTAATTCTAAAGCACTAAAACCCCAGCTGACCCATGGAACATTCCTCAGAATCAACATTAGACAATATTTTACGTGTTCAGAATATTAATATTTCATCCAGTGTAGTGGTTCCCAAAGTAGGGGTCGGGACCTCTTTGTGGGTCACAAAACATTAAGTTGGGGGGGTCCTAAGATGATTTCCAGACATCATTTAAATGATAATGAAATAATCAAATATTTTCGTCAGGATTATTGCAAAATTTTTTTTTTGCAATAATCATAAATTAATAAAAATTAGTATCAGTTACTAGGTGTTTATATTTATTATTCCCACGTTTAACAGCAAAATTTGCATACATGTAATGTGGTCAAGAGTGTCTGCAACTGTTATTTTGTAGGCCAGAAGCAAAAATGTTTGAACATCACTGATCTAGTGGATAAGTAAGACATGTGACCAACACTTCTGACAGCTTTCAGCTGCTGACGATAATGTTGATCAATAATATTTAAAGAACTCAATTCGTGCTTATAAATTTAGCAAGTGCAAATCCACTAATGAATTAAAAAATTAGCAAAAGCCCTAAAGCACTAATCAGGAATTAGTTCCCCTATTAGTGCTTTAGGACAGAGGTTCTCAAATGGGGGTCCCAGGACCCCCAGGAGTCCACGAGAGGTATCGTGGGGATCCTCAAAATAATTAACAAATTAATTTGGTTTTTATTTTTAAAAATGCATGGAGAACAACAAACTAATGAAACAAACATAATAAACTTAATAAAAATATATATTCCCATGACATTTAGGGGTTTATGAGGAGGTCCCTGGAATTTTTTCACCCTTGTAAGGGGTCCCCAGAATTAAAGAGAACCCCTGCTTTAGGGGAACTGTGCCCACCACTGTTTAGGACTGAGGGAAGTTTGGGTTCGTCATGTACTGAGGATGGCTACAGAAATGAATAAAAGTCCTGATAAGAATAGAAATACAAGTTTGCACGTGTGTGTTGATCTAAGGATGTGAGACAGGAATGGCCTTCTGAAGACCTCAACATTCATTTTTAATGATCTACTTTGGACCAGGAAGCAGCCCAAGTGTACAAAAGTATTATAAAACACAAAAAAATACAATGAAAATAATCAACATTGTCTGTTCTGATGTAGTTAAAAACTGATCACAGACGTACATTTGTGCATAGCAAAAACTTGAAAATGAAGAGTTTTCAATTGAACACAGAGGCTAATCAGTGATGACGTTTACAAGCAGCAAAAGCTTTATTTTCATAGGGTTTAATGGAGTTACTGTCAAATGATGCATTTTTGTTTCTTTGAACTTGTTAGTTCTGTTAAACAGCGAGTGTTTGCCAATCAAACGAAGTTTAATCTGTTCTGAAAGCAGGTTTGATCATCTTTTAGATCGCTTTACTTCCATTTGTCACCTTGAAATCTGAAACGGAAATGTTTCAGCACAGACACGACTACCAAGAAGTCACAGCACTTTGTGCCAAAATGCTGATCCTGTAGCAGGTACAGGTTCATGAGTTTTGGTATTTATAAATTTTTATTGTTTCACTTATGACATTTTACTGATTTGGCTTATTTCAGCCACTTCCACTGACTTTGAGGGAATACGTACCTCTGATTTATTCTTTAAAAATCATCCCTTCACATGTTTGTAAGTAGATTCCAGAAGCATCCATTGCTTCGTGGATTTGAGCAACAATAAAGAGGTCAAATGTTTTAACAGGTCCTGACACTGTTGTCAAATGCTGACCTTTCACTTCCTGACACAGCAGTTGTATTTAACACAACCCCGTGCCCCTGGCGACCTCACACACACACACCCTCAAACACACGTAAAAGGTGGACAAACACAGCAATGGCCTTGTGTTTGAAACATACCTTTTACCTTGAAAACATTAAAACGGGCCTCTAAATATAAACTGAAAACTCCAGAAACCAGAATGACAAAATAAGCTATTTCTACACAAGTTTTTATTAATAGATATGTAAAAAAAGAAAAAGACAGAATCCCAAATGACACAAGGTTTTTCTTTTATTTCAAAATATTCTCCTAACAAGATGAAACTCAAAAGGGTCCAAAGCCAATAGAGCCGTCTAGAACAGAAGCACCACTCGTTATTGCTATGTCACTCTGCTGCGGGGCGAGGCGATCGAGAGAGGGGAGGGAAATTTTAAAAAAAAGACACAAACACACTCCAAAAAAAACCACACGGACACAAAAGGAGCTATGCGGGGAAAACAGCGGGAGAATTTAAAAAACAAGTTTTAAAAAGCTGCACATGTTCCTCATGGTGGAGCTGGTTTGTCGCTGCTCTGCCTGGCTGATATGTGCCCACCTCACCCTTCAGCAGGGGGGGAAAAACTGAAGCATCTTCTCATTACAGGCAGAGTGCCCACAACGATCACGGTCATTGGTGAAAGAGTGATTACAAGCAAAGGCAGAGCTGGTTTAAAGAGCATAACAGTCACATTTATGGCCCCTTTCAGGATTTAACAAAAGAACATGTGCAGCTGTCTGCTAAAACCACTTACCGAATTTATTCATGTATAATACAATCAGTTTTTGAGCTTACAAAAGCATAMAAATCTATTTATCAATAACTTGTCTATAATACTATCCCCCACTTTATGGATGATTTTTAGGGTTAAATTTCTAGCATTATTCATGAATAAATACAGTAATTGTGCCTTTTCACTTCTGTAATCTAAAAGAAAAAGACTGAACAGTGAATGTAAGAAAAAAAAAAAAAAAACAATCAGGCCAAAAGTTTAAAAGTTACAGGAAATAATGTGATGCTGCAGAGTGGGGCTGCTGGTTGTTGGGTCTCTACTATCACAAGTCTAAAAATATGAGCATGGTACAAAAATCATCAGTAAAAAATAAAAATAAAACAAAAAAAATACAGATTCTTTGCCGCCATGGAGTCAGAGGGGGACGAGAACGTCTGCGTCTTTACTCCTTCTCATCTGATGCCTCCTCTGCTGCTTCAGTTTCCTGCCGGGATAAAACGTGGAAAAACCTAATCAAAGACGCAGGTTATGAATCCACTTATGGTTCGTTCTTTGGTTTGTTTGTTTCAAAATAAAATGAGAAAAGTAAGTGTTTGAGCGTTTTTTTTTCTAATCTTTTTGTTTTAAAGCTAAATTAATAAAATGACAATTGCAAAAATAAATGATTTTTCTTTATTTGATTACAGCAAAGACAAGCTTGGACCATTTGGATCCTTCTGGCGGAACCAGAAATCATGACACTGCGTTACATTTTAACCTCTTACTATGGATACGTTTGTTTTATTTAGAGAACCGACACATCTCATTGAGAGCTGATGATCTTACCGTGAACGAAATTGCTTTAATTCGAGTGCAAACAATATCTTTAGAAATGGTTTCCATGTTTAAGCAGTCTTCCAGCCACTATAAACTCTCTTTGGTGAGTCCTGTGGTATCGCTACATATTAAACATTAACCGTGTATTTGATTTTGGATTTAGATAAWTGAAGTAAAAATCAATTGGATTTTCAGATTTACATTTAGGTTTTAAAAACCACTTCCTGACGCAGAAAAAACAAATAACAAACCATAGACAGGTTGTTTTGTCATGATTTTGTTCATTTATGTAAAAACTAAACAAACCAAACTCAAGCTAGAGGAAAGTTGATAGTTGTTGGAAGTAACATTTCATCCATTTATGAAATGCACAAGTCCACAGCAATTTGCATGTTGTCCAGAACATTTCCTGTGTTCATTTGAGAAACGGCCATTCAGTGTTTGCCCCAGTGTTTTATACAGTAGGTTCTGTTACTAAGAGATGGGGAGTGGAGAGTGTGGCTACAGGATAAGTGGTTTGGATCTGGCATCATCAACTTACCGCTCTGCTATCCCAACCCTCCAGCATTAAAAACATTACCGCCAGGCTTGGCAAGTTTTTTAGGGAAACCCTGGACTTTGGTTGTGGATTTTTCTTTAACAGTGGCGCTAAGGTGAAAGTAGACTGCTGCCACCTTAAAACAAGAGATCAATGTTGCATTTTATTGTTACTTTGGCAGAAATGTTACAATAGTTCTTCTGGAAGCTTTTTGGGTTTTAGAAACCACAGATCAGGCTTTTAGCTAGGATGCTAGAAGAAGGTGTCGACATTTTAAGGTAGAAGGTCTGGATGCCACACAGGCCCCTGATAGACCCATTCAGTTATCCATTCGTGTTTTGACTCATCACACCACTGCCTGCCTATTGCTCTTACTGTGCGTTCACAGGAACAGCTGATAAAAATGCTACCCACATCCTCGATCCAAGTCCGTCACATTTTATTCTGTCTTTGTTGACATCTTTAATGTCTTTCCTTGGCTTCATAAACTTGCGGGCCATGTTGGATACATGTTCCCACTATGGGAAACAGTTACAATCAATGACACATGGATCCAATCAAAAAATTTCCAATACCCAAGACATTGGGTACCCCAATACCCCAACCTAATCCTGATTGGATACTAGGCCTATCTAATGTGGTTGAGGTTCACACGGTAAAATAAATGTGCTAATTTTTGGCCCGATTTTGCCCTTCCAACAGTCTTAGGAACACTCAGATTATTGTGATGGCTCCAAAGATAATTTAAGGAGATATTCCTGCAGTGTGTGGTGTGTAAGAGCGATCTAGTCGACTCGGAAGGAAGTCAGGATCACTCTGACATCAAATCGGGGATGTTCAACATGTTGGATCGTGTGCGGTGTTCCGAGGACAAACGAGCTCGCAGTTTGTTGAATGTGACGTAGCCAATCACAAAGTGAGACGATGGAAACAAACAAAATCCAAAATACAGAAGAGAATAAAACTGCTATGGGGCACTAGAAAGTCAGTTGAAGACGGCCATTGCTTCTTCATCATCTGCAATGTTTGTTTACTTTGAAGCCATGTTCGATCTTGGGAGGTCTTGCGAGATTTCCTGTCAGCTATCTGAATGTTCACAAATGAATTGTTTGGGTATTTTCTTTGCCACTGTAGGACCAAATCTAATATCCATGAGTCTTTTATCCTCATGTGTTTCGTCGCAGTTTTTGAAAATTRAAAAATTTTAAATCTTGCCATTAAGGCTACAACAACGATTTGATAAAATCGATAAAAATTGATTATTAAAAGCGTTGGCAACGAATTTCATTATCGATTCGTTGTGTTGCGCGATTTCTGCATCCTTCGCCATGTCGCGGAGCCGTTTACGTCACCCGCAGAGAGCTGTCAATGCTGGCTGACCTAAATAAAGTTTAGGGAGAAAAAAGAAACTTTACCTGTAAAGATCCGCCCTCTCTGAGACTCTCCAGTCAAAAGCAGAGACTTTGAACTTTAAACCAGTTTTTAAATTGAGTTGTTAGGCCAAGTAGCTCCGAAGTTATGATAAAAAGGATATGCCATATTTAATTTTTTTAAAAGACGGTCTGATTTGATGTGAGCCGCGTCATGAGGAGGAAATGTGTGTGTGTGTGTGTGTGTGTGTGTGTGTGGGGGGGGGCACCTAAATCCACCACTTCTTTCCTCCTCGAGCCAAAAATATAAAAACCCTCCAGTTTTTTTCTGACTGAGGCTCAAAGTTATTTGTTAAGCAGCAAAAAAGTTCAAGATGAAGGTATAAAAAATAAAAAAAGACGTGAGCAGCAGGGCTGCCTCAGTAGGGGAGGAGGGGGGCTGCTTCAGAACCGCTTAATGGGTCATAGAACAGTTTCAGTCAGACAGAACCAACAAGAAGGAAGCAAAATGTAAAGAATTAGAGAAAAATTATAAATTTTAAATGTAAATAAATTCTAATTATAGAAAATTAATAAGTTTTAAATCTAAAAATCACATTTTATTCTTTAAATCTATTTTCCTCATTCAGCAACCTATTAAATTTCTGTTGTTTCATGTAGGAGAAATACACATTTTTTTCAGTCAGTATACAGTATACAGCTGGCAAAATAAATTGTTAAAATATTTATGATGTGCTTCTGTTTCTTAATTCAGGAGATTATAAAAGAAAATCCTTCATGTTATGAAAAGAGCCTCTTGATTCAAGAGAAAACTTCGTTTTTTTAAGAAAATGGCTGCTTATCAATTAATTGTTAATCAATCTATAAGATAAATCAACTTAAGATTAATTCATTAATCAGTAACTTGCATCCCTAATTTATACAGGAATGAAATTAATTTATAACTACTCATTTTCATGTAATTAAGTGTTTTAATGATTTTGTCGATTAATCGATTAATTGAAAAAATAATCGGCAGATTAAATCGATTATTAAAATAATCGTTAGTTGCAGCCCTACTTGCCATGTGAACCGGGCATTAGCTGTGCCTCTGTTTGATACACAGAAAGGTCTGTTAAATCTCTTATAAGTAAACCAAATTTATTTTTCCTGCAGGATATCCATCACAGCGCCCTGAAGGCATTGTTACACAGAAATACAGCGTTGCAAAAACTGGAGAGCTTCAAAACAACACCACTCTAGCTAAAAGCCTGCCACAGATTCTATGTAAATAAAACTAATTGCAAAATAAAAGTCTATAATAGCGTTAAAAAAACGTAATAAATTATTTGATTAAAGTAAATTGAAGGCAGACGTAATGTCAGTTTGGTCAGAATTAAACTTTTTCTCCAAACTGAGGCAGTTCAAAGAACCATCTACAACAGGTAAGATATTAATAACTGTTCCACAGAATCACACAGGCAAAAACATTATTACCCACCTTCTGGCACAGGATAAAAAAAACAGCTGATTTTGGTCATCTTCTGAGCACTGTCTTATCTAATTGATCCATTTCCCTTTATTTCATCATTTAAAAAAAATTATGATGTTAGGATATTTCACAAAAATGTGTGAACACTCTGAGCCGATCAGGCGTCACTCCGCTGCACCGTTTCACTCACTGCTGTTTCCACACGCTGTACAATTCCTTCATATATACAAATGAGCACAGCACTCCACAGCACGCAGAGCAAACAGAAGCTCTGGTAACAACAAAACTGTTAGCGTCAAACACACACCAGGAGTTAAGACTGAAACACTGAAGCGTACCCTTRACTCTGACTGTCTCACTCTGCCCCCTGACTGACATCAAGGAGGGAGCCGAGCTTCGGACGGAGGACACGCTGACAGACGGCCGGGACACAAAGATCTGTGTGTTTCAGAGCGTTTGCACGAGAAGATATGAAAGAAGCAGAAATGACTGTGGAGGATTGTTGGTGTTTGATAAATTGCGTCGTTATTTTCCTTTGCCTGTTTGGAGGTAAAAACTGTGTTTAGGGTCTTTTCATACCTCGTTGGTCTTGGTGTCTCCGTTCTGGGCAAGGCCGTCTTCCTTCTTGCCCCTGGCGCCACCTTTCTTTGCCTTCACCCCCTTTTCATCCGCAACCTTCTGACCGGAAACAAGAAGTACACTGGCTGTAAGCTCACAAACCACACGAGCCATTTCACAAGTTTTTATTTCTTCTTTCCACAAAAAATAAGGCAAAACAATTACAAGCAAATGAGCAATCAACAACAGTCATTTGATTATTTGTGTGTGTGTGTGTGTGTGTGTGTGTGTGTGTGTGTGTGTG